GCAGGTGGTGCCGCTGCGAATGGGAACACGGCCTGCATTTGGCGGGAGAAGCCTATCGTTGTGATTGGCCAGTGGTGGATGATGTCACAGCATTCGCTTGGCGCCCGTGGGCCCATGTGATGCCCCGGGCCAGCATTCGGGTCACAGATTCCAAGGTGGAATCACGCTACTTCCTAAGAACTCAGGGAAAGCCGGTTCTACTTACGTCTGGTGGCACAGTACTTTCTGGATCTGCAAAACTAGCCAAGTATCAGATCCTTGGTAAACTTTCGTGGAGCAGCAGTTTATAATTCAGTACTGGAGGTAGGAATAATGAAACTACATGACAGTTCCAGAGATGCTGGAACCGGGGAAAATCCTAGCAGGCATTTATTTATTTTTATTATATTTTGATTAACTTCAATATTGAATTATTATTATTCTAAGTGGACTGTATATTTTGATTCAGCCTGCACATACACATAGTTTGGAGGGACACTTATAACTTATACCACTATGAGTGCATATATTATAAGCAACGATTGTTTACCTCTTGCAAAATTTAAATTATACCACATATGGTGGCCTAATCTACAGTATTATTAATTATCTACTTTATTAAATAAAAATAATATCATATCCTTAGCTGTGTTGTTGTTATGGCCTAATTAGGCTGGATATGTTTCATCCAACATCTGTTAAGGTGTGGCACATGTGGCCCAGGGCCTTGTAATGGCGGTCTGGCACTGTGGCGTTGGTTTAACACTAGAGGTAGCAAGAAACTTCACAGTTTGTGTGGCCCAGCTTATCTTTTCAGTAACGCTTATCTTTTACCTGCCAAATAAAGGACATTAGTAATGGCAAATTAACATTTAAAGTACAGGTGTGACATGAATATTGTGTGTGTGTAGTGCTGAGTAAACTTACTTTGAGCTCACAGTATAACCGCCAGACCTTTCTAAACAGTAAATGGCCAAAAATATGTAATAGATAATTGGCAAGACGGATACGCAGGTACTCCTGTTGTTGTAGAGGTTGTTGTGGCAATTACTCGGTTCTTGACTCATATTTTAGGAGTCTATAACAAGTTGTGCTGCCCGTGAGCAGCCTTCTCTGCTTCGTGTCCTTATTTATAAGTTCTGTGTGTACGTGGCTCCCCTCCTCCTCCTCCTCCTCCCTCAGCTGGCAATAATATTCTTGTCTTAAGGACAAAGCTTATTTAACAATGGAAAGGGAGTCTGTAGTGTATTTCTGGTGTATGGTATAATGATTCTGTCCTAGTCAATACTATTTTATTAACTTTAAACACTAGACTTTTGTTTAAGAAATAATTACAGTTTTAATATACATCTAGTGAAAATATGTCTTGTTGTGATTACGTCACGGAATCACCCACTCTCTAAATTCTTAATGGGTACCTATAGTAAGTTAATATTTGTGTGTCGGATTTCCGACATAATTCCAGTGGGGGGCAGAATACGGATCAAGATCCCAGTAAGGACTATGATCATTTTATTCCTCATCCTTCAGAATTATAGAGTTGCTTTAATTTGAGCTTGCACTGTTGTGCAGCAGTGTATTCTGGATGGATGTCCCGTACTGGCGTGTCGGGTGCTGGAAATCGTTGTGCGTATTCTTTTCCTGCCAGTTCTAAAGGAGCTAATTTCTCAGAGGTTTTGAGAGTAGTGTTGCCTCGGCATTTTACTGTCACTGTTCTCAAGATGCCCTGGCGGTCTGGATGAACAGAAACTATTTGACCCATAGGCCACTCTGAGCGTGGCCCATCGCTGTCCACCAGAACTATGTCACCAGGGTTCAAGTTAATTCTGTTGTAGGGGTTGTTGCCCCATAATTATACTCCCTCAGAGCAGTCAGGTATTCTCGAGTCCATACACCATTCCACCGACTTATCACTCCTGAGAGATGTTTGAAACATTGAACCATGTCACTCTCTCCGACATATGAAGGATCTTCTGTTTCTTCGTCCATAAGAGATACTAGAGTTCTTAGCGGTCCCCCATACATCAGATAAGCTGGACTTAATGGTTCACACTGCGAAACATCATCAGAGAGGTAGGCAAGGTGTTAACTCAAGCTTCTATTTCTATAGCAACGGTTTGGAGCTCCTGCAGGTCAATCTTTTGGTGGTGTTGGGTTTTCTGTAGAGAACGTTTTACTGTACCAATCATGCTTTCATTGAAGCCTAGGTGCCATGGGGCTCTGGGAGGTATGAATTTCCAGTGGCACTGCCTTTGATTTAGGGCAGTGCGCACCTTTGGTGGTTCCAGACTTTCCTCAGACATGCTTCTCCTGCCACTAAGTTGGACCCATTGTCTGATATCATTAACTTAGGACAGGATCTACGTGAAGCAAACCTGCAGGAAGCCTGTAAGAATGCCTCGGCACTCATATCTTGAGTCACTTCTAGATGGGCTTCCCTTGTTGTGGCAAAAGTGAATGGGCAGAGGTATGCCTTCACTGGGATTTTGTCCTTGGTGCGTGTCAGTGTTAATGCTCCTGTGAAATCTACTCCTGTGGTCTCAAAGGGACGAATATGTACAACTCGTTCCTTTGGGAGTGGAGGTCCTGGATGTGAACACTCTCTGGTATCGTACCACCGGCAAATTACACAGGATTAAATTATGGATTTTACAGTCTGCCGACCTTGGGGTAGCCAGTACTGTTGTCTGTGAGAGTATCTAATACCCCACCATGCAGAGTGTTGTATTTGTGTATGTTTAACACAATTAGCTTGCTTATTATGTGGTGAAGATGAAGCAATATTGGATTTTTTGTTTCCAGATCTATGTGCCCATGCTGTAAGCGGCCTCTGCATTTGATTAAGTTATAATTGTTGGTGTCTATCCAGAGACCCAGATCATATTGAAGTTTCTTAGTGACACTGTCAAATTCTATCCCGAATGTATCTGTTTGGGTTCTTTTGAACCAGTACCTCAAGGCATTAGGGAATTTATGCTTGATTCCTATTTTCTTTAGAAAAATCAAACACCACTTGGGTGACACCTAATAGTTTGATCAGTTCAGAGTACTAATTAAGATCAATTACCGAAGTCCGAGGTGGTTCTGGATTCTCAGTGGGTACAGTGACATTGGTCACAATGATTTGTGGCTTTTGTTCAGGCCATTGGTCACTGATTAGCCACTGAGGTCCATTGAACCACATCTCTGCTTTGGTTAAGTCAGGCCACGGGAGAGATAGTCAGCTGGATTCTCTTTGATGGGTACATATCTCAGTTTGTACCCCGTTGATAACTCTCGTATTTCCTTAACCCGGTAACTCACGTAAGGATTTTTACTGTTATTGTTTTTCACCAACTGTAGCACTGCCTCATTATCTGATTATACCACTGATTCTTCAAAGTGGATGTTGCTTAAGGCCTTGATCAGATAATGAGCCAATCTTACTCCTATCAGTAGGGCTGTTAACTTCAGTTGTGGCAATGATCGTTTCTTTAACGGTGCCACTCTGGCCTTTGATGTGAGCATATTGGCTTGCCCATTTCAGACCAGGTAAGCTAGTGTGCCATTAGACTTTCCTGAGGCATCACAAAAAACATGTAGCTTAATTGGTTATTTTCATTTACTGTGTTCTTAGGGAACTTGACAGACTCAAGGATACTTAAATCTTTCACTAGCCCCTGCCACTTTTCTTGTAAGGCAGGTGTTAGAAGATCATCCCAGCCTATCTTCTGTAGCCAGCATTCCTGCATTATCAACTTTCCATCTATCAAAATTGGATTTAATAGTCCCAAAGGGTCGAAGGGTTTGCTGACTTGGGATAGTAGTTTTCTCATTATTAGCTTGGTTGTATCTGATTCCACCAACTTGATTGTAAACTGATCTGCAGTTGTATCCCATTCAACACCTAGTACCTTTGTCTTCTGGGGAACCTTGTAGTCGGGAAATTTTGTTTCGATCAGTTGATTTAATTTGGCATTGTTGGAGACCCATGACTGGAGAGGCATATTTGCTCCCAATAATTCTCGATTGGCCCTCATCATATATGTTCAGCACTTTACTTTCACTGCTGGTTGTTCCTTGGAAATTGTCCACATACAGGTTGTTGGCACAAATAAAACAGTACTTGCTTGGTGGTGGAAATGATGTTAGATTATGATATGATTTACTGGAACAGCGATTAAGCTGGGTAAAGAAATTCCAGTAAACTGTTGTATACTAAAGGTAAACTTATTACTAAATAATTATTCCTAATAAGGGAAAGTAAATGGTTACATCTGTGTTAAATCTACTGGTATGTGGAAATTTAGCCTCTGTGAATGGCTGACGCCAAACTACACAATTCTAGGAGAGATTACATGATGTTCCACAACCTAATACAGTAAATTCTATAATACTAAACTACATATTAGTAGTGAAACTACATATTAGTAGTGTTAGTTAAATATTACGCATAATACAGGAAATACATCCTGTTGTATTAGGGATTAGTAAATGAATATTAGATGTGTATGAACCCTAAACCAGGAAATACATCCTGTTGTATTAGGGATGAGAATAACTGTTGGAAATTTCCAACAGGTGGGTCTTGAGGGGTGAGGTGACTCCTGAGGGGCGAGGTGGCTCCTGAGGGGCGAGGTGGCTCCTGAGGGGCGAGGTGGGACCTGAGGGGTGAGGTGACTCCTGAGGGGCGAGGTGGCTCCTGAGAGGTGAGGTGGGTCCTGAGAGGTGAGGTGGGTCCTGAGTGACGAGGTGACTCCTGAGGGGCGAGGTAAGTCCTGAGAGGTGAGGTGGGTCCTGAGGGGCGAGGTGGGTCCTGAGAGGTGAGGTGGGTCCTGAGAGGCGAGGTGGGTCCTGAGGGGCGAGGTAGGTCCTGAGAGGTGAGGTGGGTCCTGAGAGGCGAGGTGGGTCCTGAGGGGTGAGGTGGGTCCTGAGGGGCAAGGTGGGTCCTGAGGGGCGAGGTGGGTCCTGAGGGGCGAGGTGGGTCCTGAGAGGTGAGGAGGGTTCTGAGGGTCGAGGTGGCTCTTGAGGTGCGAGGTGGGTCATGAGAGGCGAGGTGGGTCCTGAGGGGTGAGGTGGGCCCTGAGGGGTGAGGAGGGTCCTGAGGGTCGAGGTGCCTCCTGAGGGGCGAGGTGGGTCCTGAGAGGCGAGGTGGCTCTTGACGGGTAAGGTGGGTCCTGAGGGGTGAAGTGGGTCCTGAGGGGTGAGGTGGGTCCTGAGGTACGAGGTGGGTCCTGAGGGGTGAGGTGGGTCCTGAGGGGTGAGGTGGATCCTGAGGTACGAGGTGGGTCCTGAGAGGTGAGGTGGGTCCTGAGGGGTGAGGTGGGTCCTGAGGTACGAGGTGGGTCCTGAGAGGCGAGGTGGGTCTTGAGTGGCGAGGTGGGTCCTGAGGGGCGAGGAGGGTCCTGAGAGGCGAGGTGGGTCCTGAGAGGCGAGGTGGGTCCTGAGGGGCGAGGTGGGTCCTGAGAGGCGAGGTGGGTCCTGACGGGTGAGGTGGGTCCTGAGAAGCGAGGTGGGTCCTGACGGGTGAGGTGGGTCCTGAGGGACGAGGTGGCTCCTGAGGGGCGAGGAGGGTCCTGAGGGGCGAGGTGGGTCCTGAGGGGCGAGGTGGGTCCTGAGAGGCGAGGTGGGTCCTGAGGGGTGAGGTGGGTCCTGAGAGACGAGATGGGTCCTGAGGGGCGAGGTGGGTCCTGAGAGGTGAGGTGGCTCCTGAGGGGTGAGGAGGGTCCTGAGAGGTGAGGTGGATCCTGAGGGGTGAGGTGAGTCCTAAGGGGTGAGGTGGGTTCTAAGGGGTGAGGTGGGTCCTTAGAGGCGAGGTCGGACCTGAGGGACGAGGTGGGTCCTAAAGAACGAGGTGGGTCCTGAGAGGTGAGGTGGGTCCTGAGGGGTGAGGAGGGTTCTGAGGGTCGAGGTGGCTCTTGAGGTGCGAGGTGGGTCCTGAGGGGTGAGGTGGGCCCTGAGGGGTGCGGTGAGTCCTGATGGGTAAGGTGGGTCCTGAGGGACGAGGTTGGTCCTGAGAGATGAGGTTGGTCCTGAGGGGCGAGGTGGGTCCTGAGAGGCGAGGTGACTTCAGAGGGGCGAGGTGGGTCCTGAGGGGTGAGGTGGGTCCTGAGGGGCGAGGTGGATCCTGAGGGGCAAGGTGTGTCCTGAGGGGTGAGGTGGGTCCTGAGAGGCGAGGTGACTTCAGAGGGGCGAGGTGGGTCCTGAGGGGCGAGTTGGGTCCTGAGGGGTGAGGTGGGTCCTGAGAGGCGAGGTGGGTCCTGAGGGATGAGGTGGGTCCTGAGAGGCGAGGTGGGTCCTGAGGGGTGAGGTGGGTCCTGAGAGGCGAGGTGGGTCCTGAGGGGTGAGGTGGGTCCTGAGGGGAGAGGTTAGTCCTGATGGGTGAGGTGGGTCATGAGGGGCGAGGTGGCTCCTGATAGGCGAGATGGGTCCTGAGGGGCGAGAAGGGTCCTGAGAGACGACGTGGGTCCGGTGGGGCGAGGTGGGTCCTGAGGGGTGAAGTGGGTCGTAAGGGGCGAGGTGGGTCCTGAGGGACGAGGTGGGCCCTGAGAAGCGAGGTGGGTTCTGAGGGGTGAGGTGGCTCCTGAAGGGGTTAGGAGGGCCCTGATAGGCGTGGTGGGTCCTGAGGGGTGAGGTGGGTCCTGAAGGGGTTAGGAGGGCCCTGATAGGCGTGGTGGGTCCTGAGGGGTGAGGTGGCTCCTGAGTGGCAATTTGGGTCCTGCGGGGCGAGGTGGGTTCTGAGAGGCGAGGTGGGTCCTGAGAGGCGAGGTGGCTCCTGAGGGGTGAGGTGGGTCCTGACGGGCGAGGTGGGGCTTGAGGGCCGAGGTGGGTTTTGAGGGGGCAAGGTTTGTCGTGAGGGGCGAGGAAGGTCCTGAGGGTCGAGGTGGATCCTGAGAGGCGAGGTGGCTCCTGAGAGGCGAGGTGGCTCTTGAGGGGGTGAGGTGGGTCCTGACGGGCGAGGTGGGTCCTGAGGGGGTGAGGTGGGTCCTGAGGGGGTGAGGTGGATCCTGAAGGGCGATTTGGGTCTTGAGGGGTGAGGTGGGTCCTGAGTGGCGTGGTGGCTCCTGATGGGCGAGGTGGGTTCTGAGAGGGCGATGTTTGTCCTGAGGGGCGAGGTGAGTCCTGATGGGTGAGGTGGCTCCAGAGGCGTGAGGTGGCTCCTGAGGGGTGAGGTGGCTCCTGAGGGGCGAGGTGGCTCCTGAGGGGTGAGGTGGGTCCTGAGGAGTGAGGTGGGTCCTGAGGAGCGAGGTTGGTCCTGAGTGGCGAGGTGGGTACTGAGGGGCGAGGTGGGTCCTGAGGGTCGAGGTGGGTCCTGAGAGGCGAGGTGGGTCCTGAGAAGCGTTGGCTCCTGGGAGGCGAGGTGGGTCCTAAGGGGCGAGGGTGATCCTGAGGGGCGAGAAGGCTGCTGAGGGGTGAGGTGGCTCCTGAGGGAAGAGGTGGGTCCTGAGGGGCGAGATGGGTCCTGAGGGGCGAGGTGGGTCCTGAGGGGCGAGGTGGGTCCTGAGGGGCGAGGTGGGTCCTGAGGGGTGAGGTGGGTCCTGAGGGGCGAGGTGGCTCCTGAGGGGCGAAGTGCGTCCTGAGGGGCGAGGTGGCTCCTGAGGGGTGTGGTGTCTCCTGAGGGGTGAGGTGGCTCCTGATGGGCGAGGTGGCTTCTGAGGGGCGAGGTGGCTCCTGAGGGGTGAGGTGGCTCCTTTGGGGCGAAGTGGCTCCTGAGGGGAGAGGTGGCTCCTGATTGGCGAGGTGGGTCCTGAGGGGCTAGGTGGGTCCTGAGGGGCGAGGCACTCTTCACTATGGTCTGGCTCACATAACGTAGGCCAAAGAGCCCATGAGCCTACAGTATGGCCAGCTCGCCAACTATATGACACCTTTACTGCCAGGAGCTTACCGAGCCCGACTTGATCTCGCTCTATTTCCTTGCGCTAGTCCCCTGTCGGCATAAAACACCTGGTTGGACGACCTTGTCTTAACTTCCCCATGACCTCTTGCACCATCAGTGAAGTTCAGTGACCTCATCAGAAACGAGAATGAAAACTCATCTGACTCAATTCGGACCTTTAACTCAGTATTTATATCATTGAACTCTAACTGCTTTGCACACACAGAAATAACATCACATGAGACCAGAAGACATGGCAGGATGTGCAGAATACCCCCGTTGAAAAACAGAGGTGCAACTGGTACTCTGAGAGAGAACTCTATCAACATCAGAGGTCCGAGACTGTTCAACACGCTTCCACTACACATAAGGGGCAAAACTGGCCGACCCCTCACAGTGTTCAAGAGAGAACTGGATAAGCACCTCCAAAGGATACCTGATCAACCAGGCTGTGACTCGTACGTCAGGCTGCGAGCAGCCGCGTCCAACAGCCTGGTTGATCAGTCCGGCAACCAGGAGGCCTGGTCGACGACCGGGCCGCGGGGACGCTAAGCCCCGGAAGCACCTCAAGGTAACCACACCTGACTGCAACTGAGGCCTTAAATCAACCTGCCTAGTAACTGCACGTAGCCACACATGACTTATGTTTATCAGTTGACACCAAGTGGCCCCAGACGACTAGTCACTTCTCCCGACGCTTTCTAAACTGAAAAATTTATGGCCAATAAATATACATAAATTTCTGCCTTACTGTAATATTCGTATGAGCGCATTTCCCACCTCAGGACAACTCTGCTCTGGCGTGGACTAGCACGACCTGAGGATGGGGTCGTAACATGAGGCCTGAGGATGGGGTCGTAACACGCGGCCTGAGGACGGGGTCGTAACATGAGGCCTGAGGACGGGGTCGTAACATGAGGCCTGAGGACGGGGTCGTAACACGAGGCCTGATGACGGGGTCGTAACACGAGGCCTGATGACGGGGTCGTAACATGAGGCCTGAGGACGGGGTCGTAACATGAGGCCTGAGGACGGGGTCGTAACATGAGGCCTGAGGAAGGGGTCGTAACATGAGGCCTGAGGATGGGGTCGTAACATGAGGCCTGAGGAAGGGGTCGTAACATGAGGCCTGAGGACGGGGTCGTAACATGAGGCCTGAGGACGGGGTCGTAACATGAGGCCTGAGGAAGGGGTCGTAACATGAGGCCTGAGGATGGGGTCGTAACATGAGGCCTGAGGACGTGGTCGTAACACGAGGCCTGAGGAAGGTGTCGTAACACGAGGCCTGAGGACGTGGTCGTAACACATGACCTGATGACGGGGTCGTAACACGAGGCCTGAGGAAGGGGTCGTAACACGAGGCCTGAGGACGTGGTCGTAACACATGGCCTGATGACGGGGTCGTAACACGAGGCCTGAGGAAGGGGTCGTAACACGAGGCCTGAGGGCGTGGTCGTAACACGAGGCCTGATGACGGGGTCGTAACACGAGGTCCGTGTTACTCCCTAAAGGAGTTGAGAGACAATCCTGTGTGCACCGGAGACCAAATGCATTACATAAATACGAAAGGTGTACGTGTCTGGATACCAGTCAGATCTTGCCAGTCTGCGTACACTGCGTTTCACTTGTTTGTATAAGTGTATACATGAATATGTTAAGGTTTGACTCCCAGTTAGTCCTCCTCGGGTTGACGCGGAGCCAGTGTGCGAATGTAGCTCGATCATGCAGGCACAGATATATGAATATTGAGAGGTTATTATCCCCGTCTTCCTCCCGCCCCCCCCACACACACACAGTTAACAAATGGAATGCATTAGGATATGGTGCTGGGGAGGCAGGCTCCATACACAGTTTCAAATGTAGATTTGATAGAGCCCAGTAGGCTGAGGAACCTGTACACGGGTTAACTGACAGTTGAGAGGCGGGACCAAAGCTTCAAAGTCCCACCTCCGTAAGCACAACTATGTGAATAGTACTAGGTGAGAACACACATACACACACGCACACACACACACACACACACACACACACACACACACACACACACACACACACACACACACACACACACACACACACACACACACACACACACACAGGGGTGAGACCTCAGAATGGCGTGAAGTCACCGGTGGAGTCCCACAGGGCTCTGTACTTGGACCTATCCTGTTTCTGATATACGTAAATGATCTCCAAGAGGGTATAGACTCATTCCTCTCAATGTTTGCTGACGACGCCAAAATTATGAGAAGGATTAAGACAGAGGAGGACAGCTTGAGGCTTCAAGAAGACCTGGACAAGCTGCAGGAATGGTCAAACAAATGGCTGTTAGAGTTTAACCCAAGCAAATGTAATGTAATGAAGATCGGGGTAGGAAGCAGGAGACCAGATACAAGGTATCATTTGGGAGTTGAGATAC